TTTTTTTCAAAAATATGCCTTTGTTTTGTTTATTTTTGAATTTTTGTGTTACACGTTGATCTTGCAATTTAATTGGTTATCATCGCTGACATCAAAAAATATCACGTGGTCCGGACTTTTGGGGGTCGCCCTGGTGGATTCGGTATCAATGGAATGATATTTAAAATCAGCAAAGAGTTTTGACAATGTTTTCAGTTATTAAAATCGACAAAGGATGGAAACACTGTTTTTAAAGATAATACAAATATTAATATTAATATATTTATTATGGCTAAAAAGTATACTAATACTCAATTTTGTTTAAGCCTAGCATAATTGACTAATAATAAAAAGGAAAAAACGATCGTTTTGTGTGTCACATTAAAAGTTCAATTTTTGGAGAGAGGGGATTGTGACGAAGATCGTATCTCTAAGTTGGCCTTTTAAACCTGCTTTCAAGTACTAAGCAAATATATAGAAGGATATGTTTTACACATATTTGCTTATTACTTAAAAGCAGATTAAAAAGGCCAATTTAGAGACAGCTGCTCCGAGCAAATTAATTCGATCGATTTGTATGTTTAAATAGCTTTTTCTTAAAATTGGCCTTTTTAACTTGCTTCTAGCCAATAAGTAAATGTGTGCAAAGTTTATTTTTTCATATATCTACTTATTACTTAGAAGTAAGTTAAAAATACCAATATTGAGATATAATAACTTTGTCACAATACTTCCATTTGGCATAATACTCCCTCTCCCTTATACTGTATTTTTGAGATTATTTATTGAATAATAAAAAAATTGCTATTATTATGCGTTTTGAGATTTCGGCTTAAAATTTGTATACAGTGTGAGACCAAAAACTTAACTCTTTGCAAATCAAATTAGACAATAAATAAACTTCACCAATTTTACTGAATTAAGGTTAAATAACAGTTTTATTTACTACACTTGTTAAATAATAACCTTCATAAGTAAATTCACTATCAAAATGCCACCAACCACTCGCGAACAAAAGATGCACAGCTAATTACATTATTGGAACGAAGATATCTGAACTATCCAAACTTACCAAGTTACCTGTCTCTATTGTATAATATAATGTTGAAAAGCTAGCACTTTGAAGCATAAAGGTGGTAGTGGTCATCCAAAGAAAATAATAGCCAATATAACAAAAACTATGGCCAATCCATTCGTCATGACAATACAATAACATTATGTTCTCTTACCACTAAATTTAACTGTAATGTTGATGTGTCTTATCATACAGTTGGCAGGCATTTGAAGTCACAAGGATATAAAAAATCTGCCTTTATCTACGCCAATGTTAATGGAGACTCATAAACGGAATCGTGTTGAATGGGCCAAGCGTCACCTTAATGATAATTGGAAAAAAACCCTATTTACTGATGAAACAGCATTTCAATTGTTCCGGAACATAATTAAACGCTGGTAGAAAGGTAAACGTCCATTTCGTCGTATGCCAGAGGAATATAGAAAAATCTTTGCCTGGAGTGGTTTTGCGCAAGGGAAAGACGAGCCTATTTTGTTTCCGACGCATAATGAATGGCGAGTTTTATGTTAAAATTCTTGAAGACCATCTCGATGAGATTAATAAAATGCTCAGGAAGAAGTGGCGCTTTCAGCAAGATAACGATCCCAAGCATACCAGTCGGATAGCTAAAGCGTTTCTTGCTGACAATGTACCTGAAGTTATGGAGTGGCCTTCTTGTAGTCCCGATCTTAACCCTATAGAAAATTTATGGACCATTGTTAAAAGCTACGTTGAGAAACGAATGACTAAAAATTTGGATGTTTTAGAGAAGTTTTTGATGAAAGAATGGGATTTTATTCCAAAAACAGTTCTAAATAATTTAATAAATTCGATGAGACGTCGTTGTGAGTTAGTTATTGAAAGCAAAGGTGAACGAATCAATTCTTAAGCCTATTCTGTGACTTTTTCGCTTTTAAATGATATTTGGTGCAACCTTCGTGGATCTATGATGAATTTAGTATAGTTGTTTTTTTTGTATAAGTACCATCAATCCAGATGGTTAAAAGATCGTCGTTGTCCAAATTTCTACACTCCACCGCCAAATTCTGTAGTCGTGTGCCATTCTATGCCGTGTGGGTTTCATTTTGTGATTAAGCTTTTATAGTTTATAGACTTTTTCACACATTTGCAATTGATTTGTTATTATAAAAATTCGGTTTTAACCAATTGAAGAAGCCTAATTCAAAATGATTTATGTTACATATCAAAATGTTAACCAGTTGTGGTGTCACCTGTACAACATGTACTGTACAACATGTACTGTACATCAGTAAACGTGGCATTTACATGTATTATACATATCGATATATTGAAAATTCTTTAGAAACTGCCGTTATTATTACTATATTAGATTGTGGTACCATTGTAAAATCCTTATAAAAGGAAGAAGCAACATCTTTATCCGTTTTTTAAGCTTAATACATGTATTATCAATTAATTGTACGAAAACTATAAACCCGTTTCGTATTTGATCTTTCAAAGAACTGTCTTAAATCTTACAACGAAGCCCTATTAGACGACAGATATAATAGCAGAAAACCAAATGTACTCTGAGCCTAAAACTCTATATACAACAGCAAAATTTCCAGATGACCTAATCATTGACATCCCGGTGCCAACGCTAAAAAAACTCTTAGAAATCAAAAAGGTGAACAGTTCGTCTCCGCAAACTTCTTTTGTCGACGATCAAATCGATAAAAGCGCATTTGGGTTATTCCTACTTGTATTTGAGAACGAAGTTTATAAGAAAACAAGATTTTTTGCAAAATTGTGGGGCAAATTCGTAGCGGCCGGAAGGGAAGCTTGGGAAAATGCAAATGAAGCGTATCGTGATGCTTTTGATAAACTCGCTGTTGAGCTAAATTCTTATTATGAATAGAGTTTTGTTTAAAAGTATACATTAAGATATAGTGCAGAACACCTAGTCCTATAACTTTAGTATAATATTGCATTTTTTTATTTAGCAAAAAGAAAATTATTAATTAAAAATTTAAAACCATTATTTGAATTAATTAGACAATTTAATAGAGTTTTTTTAAAAATATTTATTTTTTCGATGAAATTGTAGTTTCTTTATATAATTCGATGATCCAAGTTGATCAATAAAATCGTAATTCGTCGAAAAATAAGAAGGTATCGAGGAAGACATTTGCGTTTGGTTATAATTATTTAATGGATTAATTTCTGGCTGAAACGGATTCGCAAAATAAGATGTTTCGTAAGTGAAATCATTTTCTAACGGTGGTGGTGATGTGAAAAATGTGCTTGTATAAGTTGGTATGTTGAAAGTTGGAGAATAGTTATAAATTGGCGAAATTTCATGACCCACTATTGGTTGTTCGTTTTCATCGACTGACGAGTGAAAGTTCGATGAAGGGATGGTTATTTGATCGACATAATCTTCTGTTTCAGATACGGAAGAACTTTGCAATGATTGCAATGGACTTGCGGGAGTTTCTACTCGAATAAACTGACTGTTATTATTGCTATTTAGTTTTTGTGACTGAAACTGCAAATTTTTCTCTTTTTCTAATCTCGCTGGTAAATTCATATGAACAAGATGTTTATATAAATCTTTAGCCTCTAATGTGATTCTTTGAATTTAACTTTGTAAAAATACTAGTATTATTTATAAAACATATATGTACATTATTTGTTTTGAGATTATTAAGTAAACAAAATTTTGTATTAGAAACTAGGTGACAGAAGAATTAGCAATTATAATATTTGAATTTTTGAAATAAATAGCATAATTATAGGTAAAAATTTGAATTTCAAGGGACAGCATAAATTCCAGGAAACAATCGATAAGAAATTCTGAATTTCAAACATGAAATGCACACAGTTTTTTTCATTTCAAAACAATACAATCAAACCTCGTTATACCAATACTCCGTTATAACGGTAACTACAATATGACGATGACAATCCAAAAAGCTTCTAATAAAATTTACTTCGGTATAACGATTCTTCTCGATAAACCAATATTTTTACTAATTATCCTGACCATCATTATATTGTCGAAAAAGAATCAACACTTCACTTTGAATTTCATGGAAAATCAGCATATATTAAATGAAGATTTTTCTATTTCAGCCAGAAATTGAATTACAAGGCAAAATTTATCGCATACAGTCGGGCTCGATTTAACGACGATACGATTTGCTGTAATCGCGAGTTAATGGTCTTGTCCCCAGATTGCTACATTGAAATCGCGCACAATCTACAGTTCTCTCGATTTTGCAATTTGACACCAGTAATCGAGACTGACTGTATAAACTTTTAACAAAAATTCTGATCTACGACTTAATATAACGTAGTTCAATAATTCAATACTTTCATGATGTGTATAGTGAATTTTCATTTTTTATAATATTACTGAATTTACTAATCTTGGCGCATTCTGATTTGAAAACTTGAATGTCGGGCGGTTTAGAATATTATGAGGATAGTATGTAAAGCAATTGCCTCATTTCTCATTTCAATAATAATTATTGTGTGATTTGATCAAAATGTAAAAGTTAAGAATGAATTCATAAGAATAACGGCTTTAGATTTTTTTTAATCAGGACAAAAAACTTTATTATTTTAATGCCTTTTAACTTTTTTCTATCCTAATTCCTTTTTCTTCTTTTCTAATATTAAACGATTGCATAATCTGTATTAACATGTATTAACAGTGTTGTTTTAATAAACAGATTAATGCAAAATCTTAAATGATTACATTTCGCGTTTCAGAAATCGAACCCCATAATCTGAGTCAAGATATGTTTGCAACGTTATGTGTATTCCCCTTTCAGGGGGAACATATTGCTACACCCCATTAGTTTTATCACTTCAAGAATATAATTTAGTGTAATCTGTATTGATTTTACCTGCCTTTGCATTTACCATAATACTGAAACAATAGATATAATAGAGCATCATTTATTGATACTTGCTAACATTCGATTCATTTAATTCATTTTCTAGCTTTTTATCGCTATATTTAAAGAACAATCACTTTTTAACATTTACTTTTTAGATAAGAATTTGGCGCTTGTTATTATCATACAAGATTTTATCAAGGAAAAATTCATATTCTTTACTTTCGATCATCTTTGTTTTCTTTTTTCATCCAAATTAACTAATTGATTTATCGAGCTTTCAACGAAAGGAAAAAAAATGTTTTTTTCAAGTGTAATGGCAACAACCTGAAACATTGATCGAAATCTCACGAGTACATATTACATGTACTTGGAACATACATGTATATTGTTGTGACGATCAATCGAATTTCGTTGTCTGGAATATGCATTGCTAATCACTCCCGACATAACGATAAATGATTTTCGGAAACGGATGGCAAAACAATGACTCATTATCGTTATTGTTATTGTCGCAATACCCCTTTTAAATTTATAATTTACGCTAAATTATTACAATGTAAACGACTTTTCATTTATTCTATTATGGTGATAATGTCAAAAATCATAATGTAACAGTATACATAGTATTTTTGTGCAGGAAGAATTTACATGTATTCAGGACAATTGTTTGACATAGAGTTAGTTAGGAAACAAGGTTTTATTTTGCGTGCAAACTAAAACTTTACTACAATGAAAATTTGACAATTGAAAATGAAATGTAATCATTATAAGATTAATGTCTATAATAAGTCTTAATATACATTTGGAAACGTTTCAATTTGAACATGTAAAGAAACATTATGTGACTATGATATTTTCAAACTAGCTTTTCTCATCACTAAATTTTGCATAAAGTTTGATAAACTTTAAAGGGGGACTTCAAATGAATTTACCTTTTATATGCTAAGATTCACTAAAAAGGAAGACAAACTAATGAATGCGAAGATCGAAATTTTATTTGTCCAACATGTAATTGTCTTAATTTGTATAAGAGCAAAATCAGCACGTGATTATTTTCATGGTTTTGTTTTAAATTTGGATTCAATTAAATTTTAAATTCATTGAATTATATAATTATTCAACAAAGAGAACTCTTTATTCGTTGCATAGGTCATGAGAATATAGTGATTTATGACAAATTTACAAAGAAATCCATTATTAAGAAACACATTAAAATTGATTTTTTTCGATTTTAAATTCTTACTGTAATTAATGATTCAAAATTTAAATTGCATTTAATAAAAACACTGATAATTATAATTCATCCAATTATTTCCTTTATGTGCGAGATTCTTTTGGTGAACAAAAAACTTGATATCAAGTCACTTAAATTCCAAAATGGAATGTCTATGTGTAATAAGTATTTTTCCGCGCGTATAATTTTCTCCTATAATGACAATCTAATTTACTCGTAGCAAAATGACTACTGGCTTGAAACCGATGATTCGTTTTACAATACATTGTGGACTTGAGACAAGCTTATGACAATCGACTTGAATTAGACCATACTAAAACTCATGAATTTCAAATGCTATTTTCTGGCATATTCAGAAATGTTTCGCGTGTGATAAATACAATCAATCTACAAACCAATTATCTTTTTGAACCATTATGAAGTCATCAAAACTTAAATTCTCATAAAACTAAAAAATGTTCAATTCAGCCCTTGGACACAAGAAGACAATCCTCTCAACATATCCGAATTGTGATAATAATAACATCGACGACGTAACTCCTTATCGCCAACGAACCTTACTTTTCTTTGTTCAAAAAAAAAATCGATGAGTCAATTCTGAATTTACTACTGCGTTTCATTATATTTGACTTTGTTTCAGATTGAGATCAAATGAATCCCTAATAATATTCAAGTTTACTTATAAATATATTCCCTTGGCGTTTCATTATTATTATTTATTAGGCTTTTTGTGATCTGGATATGGTAATTTTCGCGAATACACGACGTAATGCCTCCTTACATGTTTCAAAGATTAAACCGTAAAAAATCAGCAACAATTACTATAGAAATATACATTTATAACCCTGTATTTACATAAAATCACGAGTTATTTTAAGGAATGCTGTATACAGTTTTAGAATTAGATGCACTACTACATACTATCTTGGTCATGATGTGCAGTACATGTTATACATGTGCAAGTGGCATCGCCACGTGTTGATTACTTTTAAAATACACGTACGAATATCTTGACAGAATACATACGTACGTATATCGAACGAATTTAATGACATACCTAACAAAAAAACTCATACAATAATAATTACAATATTTACGATATAGTTGTAAATAAACTTCTTGAGCCCGAGCATCTATATTCATTTATGTTTGAATTACGTAATGATACTCGAATTTGACTGCCATTTCATCCCATGTTTAAAAAAGACAATTTTTATTGTAAAAAAAGTAAACTAAAAAATTTTCATTAACTCGAAGCTTAATAATGACTCATCGATAGCATCATAAATCGAGAAAAAAATTGCTTATGACTCCTTTTCCTGTTTCAGCTTTAGCCATATACGATAAATTCAAGAACAAAGATCTTTAGCAGAAACTATAAATTTAAAATGACGCCAAACTAATAAAAAAATACTGAATCGAGTATATGATTGTTATATAATTTAATTCTTTGTACTTACTTTAATAGTATATTGGTGAAACAGAGTTCAATCGTGCTTGCGTATTTGTAGGGTTCAAACAAGTGTTTACTGGTTCTCTAAATCTCCCCCATTGTTGGTAAATATATGTAATAACAATAATAAAACTTGAATTTATTTTTCAACTCGGAATCTTTTCTCCGTAAAGAGGGAGCGATCAATCCTCTAGAAAAAAAAAATGATGGCGTATCTTTTGTTTTCCCGCGCAGAAAATGATATTAATTAACTAAATAATTAATTAATGAGTTTAGGGATATTAGCCTTAATGCACCATAATTAAGGGACTTAAGGGTTCACTTTCAACACCTAATTGGGATCAAAAATCATTCAAGTTGATCAAGATCGGATTTATGTAAATTTTTCTTATATATAAAGCAGTAAAGAAGGAGCAGCATCTTTGTACAAGCATCCGTTTTTTTACTCTTTTTGTCTTCAAATAAATTATACTTGTAATATTTACTTTTCAAAAAAGCTATTATCAAAATGAAAACTTCACCAGCAACCAGCAGTCAAAAAACCAGCAGTGATTTCCCACGTATTGTTCCAAAGTTTCCTCCAGAGGTAACCCCGAAGACTTTGATACAGAAAGCAATTGTGAAATACAAGAGTCTTGGACAAACGTCAAGGATTCCAAATGCGTTTATTGCTTATCGTGTAGCTTTTTGTAAAGAACTTCGTTCGATGAAGCATCCAGTTATTACGCAACCGCAACTTTCATCGATGGCTAAACAAAGCTGGCTGAGTGAACCGGAAGAAGTACGAAAGGAATATCAAAGAATCGCATTAGAGGCTAAAGATTTATATAAACATCTTGTTCGTATGAATTTACCAGCGAGATTAGAAAAAGAGAAAAATTTGCAGCTTCAGTCACAAAAACTAAATAGCAATAATAACAGTCAGTTTATTCGAGTAGAAACTCCCGCAAGTCCATTGCAATCATTGCAAAGTTCTTCCGTATCTGAAACAGAAGATTATGTCGATCAAATAACCATCCCTTCATCGAACTTTCACTCGTCAGTCGATGAAAACGAACAACCAATAGTGGGTCATGAAATTTCGCCAATTTATAACTATTCTCCAACTTTCAACATACCAACTTATACAAGCACATTTTTCACATCACCACCACCGTTAGAAAATGATTTCACTTACGAAACATCTTATTTTGCGAATCCGTTTCAGCCAGAAATTAATTCATTAAATAATTATAACCAAACGCAAATGTCTTCCTCGATACCTTCTTTTTTTTCGACGAATTACGATTTTATTGATCAACTTGGATCATCGAATTATATTAAAGAAACTACAATTTCATCGAATATTTCGAAAAAACAACAACAGAGTTTACCGACTTCGTCTTCATCATCACCAAATGTGTGCGACTGTTGTAAAAACGAAAATACTGTTCTGAAAAATCGTGTAAAAGAGCTCGAATCTCAATTGGCTTTATTGACTAGCGGTCAAAGTCAAGAAAAAACAGCCTAAATTTTTGCATTCCATAAATCATCCCTTTTTGTAAATTTCTACGTATAAATAGATAGATAGATAGGTAAATAGAATGTTCTCATGTTTTTTATGTGTAAGTAGTATAAGGTTAAAACGATTGTAAATTTCCGTAACAAACCAAAATTGTACAGCATTTTTTATTTAAACACTCGATCTTTCTTTTTCTTTTTCTTTTATGCAAATAAAAATTCGAATCTTGTTGTCATGTAATTTTCTTTGAACGCGTTTTTCCAAAAGGTTATTCTCATATCAGTCAATTGCAGAATTAAGATTTTTGGAATGAGGCTATATTTAATTCCCCATCTCAAGCAGAAATATCCTAAATCTAATCGGCTGTCAACTCTGTCAAAAAAAATATTTGACTTGCATAGAAGATGTAAAAAAGAATGGTAAAATATAAATAGAGTACTTGCACATGTTATTTCATTCAAAAATATAAATAGATTATTTACTAATGATATTTCATTTAGATTCCCATTAAAGAAATTCCTATAGAGAAACGATGACTAATTATATCATAAACGAGAATAAAAGTATAAGCAAAGATTAATATTTTAAATAATTGTTCTTTTAAAAATATCTTTGATATACTAATTTTAGTTCAATGAGTAACCATCAAATTAAAATAATTTTCTCAAATGTACTTTAATTACCGGCTCGCTTAGGATTAATTTTGTGCTATAGTGCAAGAAGGTTTTATAACTTCTTAATTAGGAGGTAAATTCAAATTTCAATCCGTAAATATAATCAAGAAAGGTATAATATATCATCTTGACGGACTAAATTTTGTATTTACTTTCTAAGTAAGATATTTTATAATATACAATTTATTGATACACAAACAGTGACTGATTCAACCTCGCGGAATTCTGTTCCAGGTTCCTAATTAGATGACTATTTATCATGTGCTCAATTGATTTAATATTATAATCAGGATAATAATATACAAGCAAGGAACATTTTTCGTTAGGACATTAAAGGAGTTGGAAACGATTTTTCAAATCAAGTTGATCTTTTTGAAACTTTCAGATGATCATGTGATCAGGAACCGAGCACAGATTATATAATTCTTTGAGTTATCGTTACAGCATTTTGGTATTTACGGAAGGCATTATTTTGGATTTAATTTCCGGAGACTTTATTATATAATTTCCAGAAATTAGTAACATTTCCACAAACTTTAGTGCTTTTTCAGGAATCGGCCGAAATTCATCAAACTATAAATCACAAAAACTGATTTTTTTCAAACAATGATTATAATTTTACTATAACACCAAAAGAATTTGGTGCAGCAATTAGATTGGACATACAATCAAACTGCCCATAAATGCAATTCGCCGAAACCATATAACTGATCAGACATGAGCATTCATTTAAAGAGAGATTACATTTATAGAGAGATAGAGAGTATATATCTAGAAGTCTATAAGCTTGGAACTGAGCGTGCATTTAGAGAGTATGCACATAATGCGTGCATTTATGGAGATTATTATAAATCGCTTAAGTTATATACAGTGACTCACATAAAAAGTGGAACACGCGATCAAAACTTTCTAGAATTTTTTTATCTTCGTCGATAACAGTCCAAACAAAATAAAAATACTCATTCTGAACCACAAGACCTCTAGTATTTTTTTAAAAATATTTTGACAACAGATTATTTTAGTCGATTTTGTAAAACTGGGTAATTTAAATCATAACTTTCAATTAGTAAATTTCTCACATTTAAGAACCTTTTTCTATGACGGATTCAAATTTGGACCACTAATTAAAAATGTTATACTCTACAAAATCCGTCTGTATACCAATTTTCACAAAAATTTAAGATCCCGAAGGTTCGAATCTCTGCTAGGAGCATTAATTCGACTGTTTTATGAATAGAGATTCGAACCTTCGGGATCTTAAATATTGATAAATTTTGACAGTTTTTGTGAAAATTGGATTTTGTAGAGTATAACATTTTTAATCAGTGGTCCAAATTTGAATCCGTCATAGAAAAAGGTTCTTAAATGTGAGAAATTTACTAATTGAAAGTTTTGATTTAAATTACCCAGTTTTACAAAATCGACTAAAATAATCTGTTGTCAAAATATTTTAAAAAAATACTAGAGGTCTTGTGGTTCAGAATGAGTATTTTTATTTTGTTTGGACTGATATTGACGAAGATAAAAGTTTTGATCGCGTGTTCCATTTCTTGTGCGAGTCATTGTATTTCCATCCAATATATCAATATGAGCTCCATAGACGATTTAGATTTGGCTCAAATTTACTATTTTTTTTTTGGCTGGAGTTAATCCGTTATAGAATCAAATCCGCCCATATGATAAAATCCTTCCACGAACTATTTTTCGTTCGTTGTCTAACTAACTCAACGGCTAGTAGTCTTTATAATTTAAATAAAAACTTTGAGATAGAATAACTTGGTCGATTTTCGTCCGTTTTTATGAAACAATCGCTATTTGATTTGTCTCGACGGGGAATCGAATGGCGTAAAAATTATACGAATACAGCCATTGGACGTCGTCCAAAAATCGCATTTTAATTTCGTTCGGCATGTATATTAGCAAAGTGATATTGTCGCAAACATTTAGAAGTATAACCTATGATTGGATAATAATTCGAATTGTGACTCATGTTCATAGTTGGCTATAGCTTGCCAAATTTTAGGTAAAAAAATTTACTAACTTAATAAAAAAGCGTATATTACTAACTTATATATGAAATTGCATATTCCTATTTCTATATTAATAAACATATTTTGAGAGAAAATCTTAAAAAAACTATTCATAATGAGAATTTAACTCAACAGAGAGTTTATCAAAAGCATCACGATATATCTCGCTTGCATTTCCCCAAGCTTCCCTTCCGACCGCTACGAATTTGCCCCACAAATTTGCAGACAATCTTGTTTCCTTATAAACTTCGTTCTCGAATACAAGTAGAAATAACCCAAATGCGCTTTCATCGATTTGATCGTTAACCGAAGAGTTCTGCGGAGACGAACTGTTCCTCTTTATGATTTCCAAAAGTTCTTCGAGCGTTGGCACCGGGATATCAATGGTTAAATCAATCGAAAATTTCGCTGTTATGCATAGCGTTTCGTGCTCAGAGTCCATTTGAATCTCTGCTATTATAATGGTGCCGTTATTTGTATTTGTAAGATATTTAAAAGAAGACAGAATTTCTTTGAAGTATCATTTACATTTTCGCTTCTCATTTATATTAGATTTGAAATTTATCGTTGACAGATCGATAATGAAAGAACATTCGCCAAAAACATATAACAATTGATAATTAAACACGAATTTTTCTGAGCATAGTAATTAATATTATGAATAATACCTATTTATAAACCTAATAATAGTTATATAGGGGAAAGAGTACAAGAAATCTAAGGCTTATCATGTAGGCTGCAAGGATTTAGAGGTAGCATAATATATGTTAACAAATCCTTGCCCCTTTGTGAATTAACTCTTTCCAGACACTCCCTCTACTTAATTTTTTTATATCTTCAGAGCAAGTAGTATAACTAACAAGTCAAATTTCCATAAAGATAATAATATGGCGCATGGCATCTACACCCTACAGTATATTACTGGAAATTTCAAAAATGAATCTGTCACTTTGGTCCCATTCGAACAAAGATATCACCATTAGATTCGCATAGTCGAGACCAGTGTTGTACATTTTGGATGTCCGCGACTTTTTTGAGATGTCCGTATCCGGTCCGCGGACGTCCGTACTCTTGTGTTATATATAAATATATATCGAAACTTTGTAGATATATGCAAAAATCAATTGTGAACAACTTTAATTAGTAGTTCAAGACAACTTGTCTTAATAAAATTTCGCGTAATTCGACATCAAAGTTGGTTACACAATGTCCGAAATCTGTCCACGATGTCCCATGTACAACACTAGTCGAGACGAATCTAATGATGATATCTTTGTTCTAATGGGATCATTGGATGTTGAGATATCGGGTTCCAAAGTGACAGATTCATTTTTGAAATTTCCAGTAGGGGTGTGTATAATCAAAATGAAAAGCATATACGTACTGCATTTATAAAATGCCATTTTTACATTTTACATAAAAATGATCGTCATTATAAAATGGATGATTTTGAACTTTCATCGAAACTTCTAGAAGTTTCATAACAAAATTCTAGCCGGCTTAAAGTCCGGAACTTTATCGAGTCTGGACTTATATTTGGAAAAAATTATTAAGTTTATCCAGAATGTTGTTTTATCGCTGTTTTCGAAATAGTCCATCGACGGATTTTTAATGTATCCTGCAATATATCGATACATATAACAATTATAATTGTAACGGAGCTTCATATTAATATGTACTAAATATTTATTATTATATGCTCGCTATCGTTTTGTAACATTTTCATTAGTACGTCTAGTAGTAATCACAGTAATCATTAGACTATTTAAAGATTATCACAAAGTTCGCCGATCGGACTATTTCGAAAACAGCGATAAAACCTCCTGGATAAAAAGACAGGTTTTTTTTACAGTAAATCAAACATAGAAACAATTCCGACGTTGATATTTGTTGAAATAGTTCGATCAATTATTACCTAATTGAAGTCAAATACAATACTTCTTGAAAAAACAAATAAATGTATTACCATCTAATATAATACATAAGCTTATAATTCAACGAATTACAAATTCGGAAGATTGCAATGTTAAATTTTTAATAGGAATCTGTCGTATTATATAGAAATAATAATCTCACGAATAGAAAATACAATAATAAATGCATTATTTATTGTTACCTGCCCATTGTCGATCGATATAATAATAACAATAATACGTAATGTACATGTATAACGATAATAGCAAATGTAAAATACATAACAATAATATGTGGATATGTGGTTAATAAATTTATAAATTCATTGTCATAAATTTTACAAACTCTCAACTCTTGAATTTCACAAATTTCTTTTAAATTTCTTACAAACTCTTAACGCTTGAATTTTACAAATTCTTTTAAATTCTCACAAACTCTTAATTCTTGAATTTTACAACCTATCATGTAATAACCGAAGATCAAATGACGGAGCCTAAAACTCTATACGCAACAGCAAAATTTTCAGATGACCTAATCATTGATATCCTGGAGCCAACGCTTGAAGAACTTTTGGAAATCATAAAGAGGAACAGTTCGTCTAAGCAGAACTCTTTGGTTGACAATCAAATCGATGAAAGCGCATTTGGGTTATTTCTACTTGTATTTGAGAACGAAGTTTTTAAGGAAACAAGATTGCCTGCAAAATTGTGGGTCAAATTCGTAGCGGCCGGAAGGGAAGCTTGGGAAAATGCAAGCGAGACATATCGAGATGCTTTTGATAAACTCGCTGTTGAGTTAAATTCTTATTATGAAGAGTTTTTTAAAACGCATATACATGTATATTTAATTTCATTATTCATATATTATTATTACCACTCAAAACTAAATTCATGTAATCAAAGTATTACTCAAACCTAAATTCATGAATTAAAAGTATTATTATGCTCTCAAACTAAATTCATGTTTATATTGTGCTACTTAAAACTAGTCTTCACCCTATATATAAAATATATATGTGCTTCTGGGATGACCATAGCTTCACAGGTTACTCACATTTCAAGAGCTAAACAATTTCTCCGTTATAACCCGGTGAGTAACCAGTATAACTGGTGTTAATTTCTTCTAAATATTTCCGGCCTCTCCCCTACATTCCCACACATATGAACAAAAATATTTATAATATTACAAGTCCCCTATTCCAAAGTGTCAAGCAGACTGATCTACAGACTTTCAATGCATAAACGCGTTGTGACTATTAAACCATCCTTCACAAAGAGAACAGACCTAAAATGAAAGGTATGCTGTAAGTTATAATAAGATAGAATTCATTATAATCTTAGATTCATTTGCTCACCTTGCTCGTTTACCAACTTTGTGACGCATCTCTCCACTCATAATATAGCTGCTTAAAATATCTGTAAGTATGACCACGTAAAACGACCTGCACCGAAGGCATCAACAATATTCGGATTGTGTCTATCTATAAAGCGTTGACATATATCATAATGTTGAAGTATATATTGCAGATGTCTGACATACTGATTTTTTGAGAAAGTTCGAGAGATAGGAATAATGTTGTTGATAATTTGAATATTAGGTACCTAATATATAAAGGGTTAGTCTCATATTCTCCTTTTATTTAAAATCTACCCCCAGCTCATAAAATCTTTTATTTCCTCCGAAACCATCATGTGCAAAGTGACAAAATATTTTGTGATGTTAACGGTTCAAACCACAATTTAGCATATTTTTAAAAAAAATAGCTCTAAAAATTACCTTTTTTAACCACTTTTACGGTAGTTCCACACAAATCTCGTGTTGCTTTATGATTATCTACTAGAGCTCTCCTTCCCGGATCGAGCCTGATAATTGTTTTGCTAGTTAAGTTCACAATATCATAATCATCTTCTTCCTCATTATTTCTTAATTTGTTTGTTCATAAAATATTGATACCAACTAAATCGGTTCTCGATACGACTGTGAAACCTTTCGTCATATACATGTATATCTTTGTGTATGAAGATCTGCTCATACAAGTGATTTGTTTCCAAAATAGCGTTGTGATACAATATCGAACAGACAAAGATCTTCTACATTCAAGAACGATAATACGGATAATATGATAACGAAGTGGAAGATAAGCTGTCCATGTTGTTTCGACAAATCAAGATATTCACACATATCAATATCGAAAAGTTGGCATTTCGCAATATTGTTATAGTTCTATTGAAGAATTGTATCCTTGTTCTGCATAGAATAATTCAATCATAGAAATTCAATCATAGAAGGTAGACGTGAATTTTTCTTCATTTCAGAGTTTGAAGCAAAAAGTATCTAATTAGCGAGTGCAAATATCATGGCAAGTTGGTTGAGATATGATTTCTGCAATTCAGACTTGGCAGCGGTTGAGAAATTATCATTTGATGAATTGTTTTGTCAAGTATATCGAAGCATTTTTTTTTACCTATCTTACTGAAGTCCAATTTCAATTCCGTGGTCTATATTCATCACGGTCATTATTTCTGTAGTATTTGTGGTAAGTTAGAAAAGTTACTACGAGTTACTGATTGTAATAATCGTTGCATAGATTGACAATCAATGACCGGAGTCTTTATTTTCGTGATGCTTACCATAATTGACCACCACTTGTTGTTGGTTCTGTGGTGAATGAACCTTTTGTACTGGAAGTTGGTATATTTGTTAACCGCAATTCATATTTACATGATAAAAACAAAGAAATTTGAGGCAAAATGGATAAACTATAAAACTTATTCATTGCATAGAACACAGTTTTCTGACGCATTTTCGTTTTCAGTAGTCATTTTTAGTCCATTTTGATGAAATAATTTTTATAACTTGTATGATCGAGATGAATAACGGTATGGTGCATAAAATCTAAATTCATCAAACGTTTGTATTTATAAAATGTATAAACTTCTTTACTAAGAAGTAAATA